ACAACGGCCTCTTGCAGTTCCCAGAACACACTAAGTACCTGACTTGGTTACTTGTTCCTTTTGCCTGGAACAGATTTCCCCAGGTAGTGACTCAGCACTTTATGCCAATGACTCCTCCATGACGCCTTGTCTGCATACCCTCCTTAAAATTGAGATCCCCAACTTCCTATCCCCTTTCCTGCTTTATTTTTATCCAAATCACTTACTAAGGAGCTGATATATTAAGAATTTTATTAATTTATTTTTTTATTGCCTAGCTTACCCCTCCCCTCAAAGTGTCACATGAGCAGGAACTTTCACAGGCTTTTTTTCCCCCTTTCACAGGCTTTTTTTTCCCAAGAAACTTTCACAGGCTTTTTTTCACTGTGTATCCTCCATACTAGCATAGTGCTTGTCACATAATCATAGGTGCTTAACAAATACTTGATGATGAAATAAATTAATTTCCCTTTTGCTGGCTGATTGGGTCACATAAAATCATTGGCTCTACAATGATATGCCTGATTTATAACTGGAATTGGCAATACTTTCTATATAATTCTTCTTCCCTTATTGTATGATGCTTAGTTATTTCCCTGATACATATATTGTTTTATTCGATCCAAACAACTTTTTGATGAAACTGGGCTAGCTTTCTACCCCTGTTTTGCGGATAAGGAAACTGGTATGAGCTTCACTGACTTGTCTGTGATCCGCACAGTGACCAGAATGGCATTTGCCTCTTTGTGGTATTGAAGTCACCCCTCGGTGACCTCAGATCATCCATTTTCTGGTATTTTGTTTTGTTTTGTCTTGTTTTGCCAAGGAAACATGGTCTTGGTATCTAAGAGTTCTAACTCCTACCTTCATTGCATGGAGAGGGAGAGGAATACCTGGGGGCCACTAAATGAGAGGTTGGTTGGACCTCTGCTTGGTTAAGCTTGCAGGTCTCCTTCTCACCCCCCTTTCCCTTTCTTCCTGCAGCACAGTTTTATAAATGACAAAGTTTTGTTTTAAAATTCTAAGTCTGTAGTCTTTTTTTGTACACACAGATATTGAGTTTCTAAATCAACACATTTGAGAGCCTGAAGGGTGCTAACCTCTCCCATATGGAAGTGCATCTTTGGGGGCTCTCATCTGGGAATTCAGTTTTATAAACCTTACGTGGGGTTCTTTCCCAGAAGTTGAAGAAAGGGTACAGAAATAGAACCTGGTCATAACAGGAGCAGGAATAGATGGATGAGGTTCTTTGAAAGCACTTCCAAATCTCTAATGTTTCTCAGATATTAAGAAATCATGCAGTCAAATGTAAAATGATATAAAAGTGAAATTCCAACAATTTAATGACAGATATGTGCACGGGAGTTGAGATGGAATGCTAGGATCTGAGCAAAGGAAAGGTGAGGTGTGAGGATTGTTGGTGACCTCTACCTCAAAATCCTCCAGGGAGACAATCAATTCATGTTAGATTGCAAGTGTGACTGTTTAAGATACAATTGTACCAAGAATAAAGAGAGAGAAGTTATAGTACTGTTAAAGATTTATGAAAATGTTCCTTAGGAATCAGGCTACTTCATTTACTTTCTTGACTTACTCAAGCAATTTGTGACCAATAAATTGGTCAGTCAGGCCAGGCATACTTCTCATTACAACTAATATAGTGAATTCTAGTTTGATGAGCATCTCTTGTGAGTTTTGTTATCGTGAATATATTCCTCAGATGTAAGAATCCTAATAAAGTCCCAGCTTGAAGCATTGCATTGTTACTTCCAGTTTACAACAACTAAGGCTCATAGAAACACTGGAAAGGAAAGCAGGCCCTCCTTACGCTCTATGGATTCTCGCATCTCTGTTACAACTTCTGTCTTATAAACCTGCTGAGACAGACTAAATAGTAGGTTCTCATAGAAGAATATGAGGTTATAGAAAACAAATTTATTAAAAAACTTGCACGAACGAAGGTGAGGAATGTACCTACTAAACATATGAAAATAACAAAAAACAAAGAATACCCTTATTATTGACAATAAGCCAATCTGTACAGTAGAGAGGACTTCCTGGATGGTGGAAGATAAAGCCCTTTTGAAGGATAAAATCCTCTGCAGTCTTTTTTCTGTTTTTCATGTAAAATATGAACTCAGGCCTGCTCTTTCTTATAATATTAACTACTTAAATTTCAGAACCTAACCTTAAAAATGAAAGTCTATAATTAATGATTCTCAAAAAAGTAAGATGTTCCTCTACCCTGAAATTACAGTTCCAATCCTCCTTCATAAAAGTAGTCAAAAGAATGTGATCTAAAGAGTTGTCAGATTCTCTTTCTCCTGTCTAATATGGAATTCTCTGCCGGTGTTCAAAACTACCACCGAGTTGTCTGTTCTCAGTTAATAAAAATGTGGGAGTCTCATTTGATTTGTAAGAGATCTCCTAGGAAGTCCAAACATTAGACATTGTTGCATATTCCTTAGATATAGATCTATGCAGTTTGCAATTCTGATCCCTGGCTGGCTGCAAAGGTAACAATGTTGTATTTGACATCTCTTTTTAGCTTGTTAAAAAGAGGACTACTAGTTCCAAAACGGACCAATGGTACTTTCTTTTTCTCCTTCATGCTCAGGGGAACAAAGAAACTCGTATGACTGCTAGATTAATTTAACAAGTAATGTGAGAGTCTGCTTCATTTAAATAACCATACAACACTAAATTGGCATCTTGAATCGTGAATACTTCAGAATCTTACTTGATAAACGTTTCATGGTTCATACCTAGTGGTTTTATACTGAAATCCTGTCATCGTTTTGAGAAGCCCACTCCTGTAGACTTTAGTCCCACTGACCATTTCCAATGCCTTGAATGTGATATCCACTTTCTTACTTCAAGTATCCAGAATGCTGTTTTGTACACCACGCTCCTTTATTGGTAATATTATTTATTCTGGGCTCTTTGGGCTTTCCACGCACATCTCTACTGAAGCATTTATTATCTTACCTGTGTTTTGTTTGTTTATTTATGGACAATGTGTACATATGATTCAAAGTGCTTAAAACGGGCACAATTAAAAAGAGCCTCCATCCATCCCTGCCCCTAGGCCATCCAGCACATTCCGCATTCTCTGGTTAATCTCTTTTTCGTGCCTAAAATACATCTCTGAGTCCACAGCACCTTTTCTTCCCTCTAAGGGCACCGCACCTTAGGCCTCACCTTATCCAAGATGAACTCAGCTACTTCGGGAGTTCCGCCTTTGTTTGGAACAAGGAAAGGGGCAGAACGAGAAATGCGAGTCTTTCCTTCTCGAGTTTCTCTAGTTTTTAATTTGGTCCGAAGAATTCAAATAAACGGCTGCCCCCCCGCCCCCGCCTTGAGTACACCTTTTTTCCACTGTTGTCTTTAGAGTTTCGATTTATCTGTACTCTCAACATGGCAAGGCCACGGCAAGGCGGGGAGGGGCTAGGGTTAATGGTGGTGCTAAGAGCCACGGTAAGGTCCTGTGTGCCAACATCCAGGGTATCACCAGGCCCGCCATCCGGCGCCTGGCCTGCCGCGGTGGAGTCAAGTGCATCTCCGGTCTCATCTACAGAGACGCGGGGTGCTGAAGGTCTTACTATGAAATGTGACCATGGCGCCATAACCTACACCCAGCGTGCCAAGCGCAAGACGGTCACCGCTGTAGACTTTGTTCTCTCAAGCTCCAGGGACACACCCACTATGGCTTTGGCGGCTGATTGCAGTATTGCTGTTTTCAATTGTAAAAGCTCTTTTCAGGGGTACCTATCTTTTCTTTTAAGGAGTTATCTGTTCAGATCACGTATTGCAGCTGAAGTCTTGTTCCTTAGTTCCTGCACTAGTGTACGGCATCGTGGTCTGCTGCAAAGTGATACGAGAAAAAGGGCTATGCAGTGAATGGGTGTGGAGTTCCTGTACACGTAAAAATGGCTTCCATTCACAATGCTTACAGGCTCCCAGGCGCACTTATAGAATGGGCTAAACTGCAAACATTTTAATCTGGGGCTTCCTAACTGTGAAATTAAACTAGTATCTAAAGGGAACCAGTCCAGTGACTTCCTGGATTTCCCTGGCGTTGTCATTGTTGTTCTCGAGGTTTTCAGGTATTGTCTGTCCAGTCAAAACCTGGGGAGACGGGCTAGATGAATCAAAGAACATAGTGTTGACACCAGAAGTGCTCGCCAAAATGCACTTCCTTGTCTGAACATTTGTCAGATTAACACCAAATTTGGGTTAAACGTCACCTCTTCAAATATTACCCAAATCCAGCAAAGACACCTCCTCCTTCTCTCTCCCCGCCACCTTCCCCCACCCCCCGCACGGAAATGACAGGCAAGGCTCCCCAGCTTTCTTGAGAAGTGTTAAGTAGCTCTGAAAAGAGCCTTTGGGTTTGGTAACGCCTATAAACACATTTACTTGGAGCTGGTATACTTGGTGACAGCCTTGGTGCCCTCAGACACTGCATGCTTGGCCAGCTTTCCAGGCAGCAGCAGGCGAACGGCCGTCTGGATCTCCCTGGATGTAATGGTCGAGCGCAATGCGCCAGGCGCGACGCCTCGCCCGCGATGCGCTCGAAGATGTCGTTAACGAACGAATTCATGATGCCCATGTCCTTGGACGAGATGCCATTGTCCGGATGGACCTGCTTCAGCACCTTGTACACGTACACGGAGTAGCTGTCCTTGCGGCTGCGTTTGCGCTTCTTGCCATCCTTCTGTGCCTTATTCACCGCCTTCTTGGAGCCCTTCTTTGGGGCAGGAGTGGACGTCGCAGGCTAAGGCATGCTAAAGTACTGCGATCGAAATGAAACAAAGGACCAGGAAAGTAAAAGGCGCTTCTTTAACAACAAGGGTTTATGCAAATGAGGTGGGATAAAGGTGGCTGGTGATTGGTGATTTTCTCCACTGACGTCATAGTTCAATTTTTGCCCAGTCAAGGTAGGCATCCTGCATAGTGGCGTTTCCATTGGCCTAAATGAAAGTAAAATGTTAGCCAATCGTACCGCTTCCTTTTCGCGCCTAGCAGGGCCTATAAAATATGCGTTTTTAAGTTTTTGCTTCTTATCTTTGATAGCCGTTGTTGATCCCGAGCCATGTCCGGACGAGGCAAACAAGGGGGCAAGGCTCGCGCCAAGGCTAAGACTCGCTCTTCGCGGGCCGGGCTCCAGTTTCCCGTGGGCCGAGTGCACCGCCTGCTCCGTAAGGGCAACTACGCCGAGCGGGTCGGGGCCGGCGCGCCGGTGTACCTTGCGGCGGTGCTGGAGTACCTGACGGCCGAGATCCTGGAGCTGGCGGGTAACGCGGCCCGCGACAACAAGAAGACGCGCATCATCCCGCGCCACCTGCAGCTGGCCATCCGCAACGACGAGGAGCTCAACAAGCTGCTGGGTAAAGTCACCATCGCGCAGGGTGGGGTCCTGCCCAACATCCAGGCCGTGCTGCTGCCCAAGAAGACTGAGAGCCACCACAAGGCCAAAGGCAAATAGAAGTCTGGATGCAGCTCAAGTTTCGCAATCAAACCAAAGGCTCTTTTCAGAGCCACCTACAGTTTTCTGGGAAGAACTGAGCACTAGGTTTATAAAGCTTATACTCTAGATAATACTTAGGACCATTATAGGTGAATTATACCAACCTCAAAACTTGTGTTAGGAAGTGATTTCTACTCCATGTTAAAGTGTGTGAAATAACCTATAAACTTTGATTCAACACCATTGGCAGATTTGAGGGGTTATGTGGAGTGAGTCATTCTTAAGTATTGTCACCTTCACCTCTACGCATCATGAACCTCTGGAAAGCACAAACTTCTGGTGGAAGGTCAATGTGCCTTTTTGTGGCAGTTTTAAGACATCTTTGTTTTCTGGGTTCTAGACATCCTGAATGTTCAGGGATCAAACCAAACCTGTATCTTAGGTCAAAGGCCATTCTTGGAGCCGTAAGATATCTGAGAAAGACCTAATTTCACATCAGTGTACATTACCTTTTATATTGCTGATTAAGGAATATTTAAATACTCAGGCTTCTTATTGGAAAAGTTAGCTGAGGTGCCTGACAATTATACTCATTGTTTATTATTGGGTTCTCAAGTATTTTCCAAGCTCCCTCGCACCCATCCATACAAACAGATGTCTATATAAGTCGATGATCATTCGTTTCAGGATAAAAATGCTAAGTTCTAGTTTAAAATGCCGTTTTCTTAGTCTTTTTATTGTTAAAAGACCTTGTACTGATGGGATTAGATCATTTTTTCCTTAAAAAAAAAAAAGCCTGCCTTGGTAATTTCTAGGCCCTGGGGGGAGGGGGAGGATCAGATGTATCAGATGCCAGGCAAGGAGGCTCTCCTAAGGTTCTGCCAGTTGCTAAGGAACTATTGGATGTAGATGCAAACCCAAGGGGTGTGTAGCTTGCGGTAAACATAGGTTACTGGTGGGGAATTAGATTCTTTAAAAACAAAGGAATTACATTCCTAAAATAGAAAAATAAATTGTGCTGCAATGGAATTGTTTTATACTAACTAACAATGAAAAGAAGTTCATGTAAGGATGAGTTTCCCTATGAAGTTATTAACCCTTTAATTCCTCACATGCAAATCAGATTGTACTTACTGAAAAAAATTTTTAAGTTCTTAAAATTCGTGTTTGAAGGAAAGCTGAGGGGTGATGGTACAGTGCTACTATTAACCAATTGTGGCCACTGATCACTGGATATGTGGCTCGTTTGAACAAAGCAGTAGACATGTAATATACACACTGGATTTCAAACTGCAAAATAAAAAAAATTAATGTGAAATATCTAACAATTATATTGATTACATGTTGAAATGAATATTTTAGATATATGAGGTTAAACAGAATACTATTAAAAACAATTTCTTCTGTTTTTATTTTGTTCTAATGTTGCTAGAAAAGTTTCTGTTTCTTATGTAGCTTGTATTTATTTCTACTGGAAATTGCTGTTACAGAGCAAACAACTTTACAGGAAAAATGAAAAAAAATTGAGGTCACAGATAACTGACACTGTCGGAGGATTGGGGGAACAACAAATAAAATTTTCGAGTCCTAACCAGTCCGGTTACCGGTTGGATAGTCCTGGTCTCCTTTTGTCCAATCAGCTTGTGACTCTCGCTATAAATAGGTGGCTAGGGCGCGCCTTTATGCTAGCTGAACCATCTAGTCATGGCTCGCACTAAGCAGACCGCTCGCAAGTCCACCGGCGGCAAGGCGCCACGTAAGCAGCTGGCCACCAAGGCGGCCCGCAAGAGCGCGCCGGCCACGGGCGGCGTGAAGAAGCCGCACCGCTACCGGCCCGGCACGGTGGCCCTGCGCGAGATCCGCCGCTACCAGAAGTCCACGGAGCTGCTGATCCGCAAGCTGCCGTTCCAGCGCCTGGTGCGCGAGATCGCGCAGGACTTCAAGACCGACCTGCGCTTCCAGAGTTCTGCCGTGATGGCGCTGCAGGAGGCGTGCGAGGCCTATCTGGTGGGACTCTTCGAGGACACCAACCTGTGTGCCATCCACGCCAAGCGCGTCACCATCATGCCTAAGGACATCCAGCTTGCCCGCCGCATCCGCGGGGAGAGGGCGTGAGCCTGAAGGTCTCCCATCCACCCCAAAAGGCTCTTTTCAGAGCCGCCTACATGCACACTGAAAAAGGACTGTTTCCCTGCTAATTACTGCTACTAGCTTTGCTTGTGGGAGACAGGTGAACTTTATACATTGTGATTTTCTAAGTACCAGGTGTATGTGTTATTTCCGTCTCCCAATGTAGTAAAACAAGTGGTTAGATCTTTCTTACATTCCTAATTTCTCTTTTAGTTAGAAAACACTACTGCTACGATTAGACTGTCAGATGTAATCATGCCCATTCCTTTTCTGAGGGGGCTTGTGAAATGTAGGACCTATGATTTCCACATGGGATTTAGGGTGATGCTAATATTTTACCAAGTTAAAATGATCTAATGCTTTCTACTTGGATTAACACCTTAAGCAAAAAATAATTGAGTGTCCCCTCCCAGGAATCAGCCTTCCTATGGGAAAAAAGATTTCATGGGAAGCAGTCGTCCCCCACCCCCTCCCCGGGCACATCTAAGGCCAATTTCTAATCAGATTGGTATTCTTGAGTGTGTAAACAGGGCCTTCTAGCTTGGGGAACTGAGATATTAAGTCAAGAGGGGCCCACAACAGAGATGGCCCTTTCTGCTGGCTGGGTAGGGCACCCTCCCCTGAATATATGCAGTCAGTATATTGCTTCCCCAAGTAATCTTTCAGTCCTCATTATTTGAAGATTTATTCAGGGGAAATGAGCAGTCCTAGTTATGTGTACATTTCTAATTATGTGGATACAAATATTCCATGTCTCTAAACTAAGTGCTGAACTCCGGTAGTGTTATCCTTCTACCTAAGCTTTTCTGGAATTTCAACATAATTTCATCATTCCATACAAGGAACTTGGATTTTTGCTATAGTAATGGCTCACAAAAATGAATACTCAAGACGCCAGACCATTTTGGCTCATGCTAATGGGTAGATGGTGATGCCAAGTACTAAGATAAGATTCACTGGGAAAGTAGTGATGATGTTCAGTCTGGGATATACATTTTGAATTCGCCGGAGATCTACAAGACTATCAGAAAGTAGATGTATGTGTATGTCTGAACTTGAGATAAGTCTGGGATGGACATAAGATTTGGAAGTCATTAGTATATATAAAGCATTGAAACCAAAGGACTGGCCTAGAAATCCCTCTGGCTCTTCCTCTCTTGCGATCACTCTGCCTTATTTGCCAGTATCGAACTTTTTCTCATTTGCCTGCACACACCACAAGCCATGAATTTGGTGACGCTCATTTTCTGCTGGAATCCCTACACTTTCCTCTATTTCCCGACTTCCTTTAATCCTCAGACCAAGTGTTACCTCTCACAGATCTTATTCCTCTATGCTCCCCTTATATTCTGAGCTTACTTATCTTGCTAAATTGTTCTTTATTTACTTTTGTTTCTCCCCATTAGACTTTCTTTAGGACCGGCGGCGTCTCGTTAACATTGTATCCTTAATGCCTGGTATCCAAGCGTGTGATATTTGTTGAAAATAAGCCTAAGTAACGACTGCGTATCGTGTTTTAAAACAACTCTTTAAAAGCAAATTTTAAGATGCAGGATTTACTATCTTTCTGACACCCCAAATGAGTTTGTGTATCATTCACAAAAAAACCACCTCAGGGCCCCTCCAACAGATACTTTGGCTTCATAAAAACTCACTTATGCCACTTGCCTAACTCCCACATATGGACCTAGATAGATGTGAGCCAATAACCTTGTAGCTTCAGTGACTTTGAAATTAGTCTAACACAAATGTCAATTTTGTTGACTTCTAAATAACAACTGTGAAATATGAACAGGAAAGATGAGGATATTCTAGGACTGAAGCCTAACTAGAGAGTATCAGTACTGTACTTCACAGAACAAATTAAAAATGTACCAAGTCGTGTCACCTTTTTTATGATGATAGAAGTGGCTCTGAAAAGAGCCTTTTGTTGCTTCCAAACTTGATCCCTACTTGGCCTTGTGGTGGCTCTCGGTCTTCTTGGGCAGCAGCACGGCCTGGATGTTGGGCAGGACGCCGCCCTGCGCGATAGTGACTTTACCCAACAGCTTGTTAAGCTCCTCGTCGTTGCGGATAGCCAGCTGTAGGTGACGCGGGATGATGCGCGTCTTCTTGTTGTCGCGGGCCGCGTTACCCGCCAGCTCCAGGATCTCGGCCGTCAGGTACTCCAGCACCGCCGCCAAGTACACCGGAGCGCCAGCCCCGACCCGCTCAGCGTAATTGCCTTTGCGGAGCAGACGGTGCACTCGGCCCACGGGGAACTGAAGCCCAGCCCGCGAAGACCGGGTCTTAGCCTTGGCACGAGCCTTGCCGCCTTGTTTGCCTCGCCCAGACATAACTCGACACCAACCGACGCTTCCAAAGATAACTGACGCAAAAGCTTTAAAGCGCACCTTTTATAGCCCCTGCTGGGCGCGAAAAGGAAGCTATACGATTGGCTAACATTTTACTTTCACTTAGACCAATGGAAACGCGACTATGCAGAATGCTTACCTTGATTGGGCAAAACTGAGCTATGACTTCACTGGAGAAGAATCACCAATCACTAGAAACCTTTACTGCACCTCATTTGCATAAAGCCTTGTTGTTAAAGAGGTACCTGTTGGTGTCCTGATCTTCGTTTATCCCTTGTATCGCAGTTTTTCGCCATGCCTGAGTTTGCCAAGTCCACTCCTGCCCCGAAGAAGGGTTCCAAGAAGGCGGTGACCAAGGCCCAGAAAAAAGATGGTAAGAAGCGCAAGCGCAGCCGCAAGGAAAGTTACTCGGTGTACGTCTACAAGGTGCTGAAGCAGGTCCACCCGGACACCGGTATCTCGTCTAAAGCCATGGGCATCATGAATTCGTTTGTTAACGACATTTTCGAGCGCATCGCGGGCGAGGCGTCGCGCTTGGCGCATTACAACAAGCGCTCGACCATCACCTCCAGGGAGATCCAGACGGCCGTGCGCCTGCTGCTGCCCGGCGAGCTGGCCAAGCACGCCGTGTCTGAGGGCACCAAGGCTGTCACCAAGTACACCAGCTCCAAGTGAGTCACTGATTGCAGAGCGATTGATCAGACTTTCTCACACCCAATGGCTCTTTTCAGAGCCACCTACACTTTCCGAAAAAGAGCTTGTCCGTTGTTAGGTCTGTTTTGAAATGTTTCATGTTTTCTTGAATGTGTAAGTATAGCTTTAGATTAAAAGTTTGTACGTTTTTTGGGGAGCCTTGATTCTCATGCATTTTTGCATGTTCGTTACAGTTACCTTTCACTATTATAAGTAGATTTCGTGTACTTAGTGAAGAACTAATAATGCATGTATCCTTCAGTTTGCAGAAGTATTTGAAGATAACTCATTGCACTGCAAGTAGCCAGAGCATCGCAATAACTCCTGGGGTTTTCTTTATCCTATCCTGGGTTTTCTGGATCCTATCCCGATAAGCTACCTAGTTTCTGGGTCCTATCCAATAAGCTACTTAGCTACTTACTGCCTATGAAATTGAAGTAAGGAATTACTTACTCCTGGAGGATTCAGAAGTCGAAGGTATTAGTTGACAAGGAGGCCGAATTCGCAGCCAGTGTGTCTGAATGCTTCCTCCCTAAGCTGCAACGGGCCCACAACCTTATGCATTATTAAAATCTCAACCTTAATAGTTGGAAGCTGGGGTAATTTTAAGATCGAGTGCTGACAGGACTTGATGAGTTACGAGACAGCATAATGTAGATTGTTTCATTTTCTAGTTTCTCACCTAGTTCCCTCTCCTTTCAATGTACCCCACCTTGCTCCACCACCTCCCATACGTAACTGTGAAATGATAAGCATTGCTAAAGGGATTAGATGGCTTTTAGTCATGGAGTAAACAAGAGCAGTTTGAAATATAAACCTGAGTCCTTTCTCTTGTAAGAGAAAAGGTTGGAAATTTAAAATTTTTTCCTTCACCTCTTCAGTTCTCTTTGAAATTATACCTTTCCTATGTTGGTAGGAAAGCCTGGTGCCTCTGAAAAACCCAAAGGCGTTTTCTTTTTTTCTTGAAACAAGTTACAATGTTTAAAACATTTTAATGGAAACACAATAGGAAGAACTAGTGTCCCCAGTACATTACAGAAATTAAAAAGGGTACTTTATCACTGGCAAATAAATCCATAAATCTTGCTTGCTGACCACTTGATCAACCAGACCAAAAAAAAAATCATCTATCCCCAAATTAATTCTGAATGTAACAAATAGATTTGGGAAACCATAGTATATAGAACAGAATAGAATTTTAGTAATAGCTCCAAGTATGATGTTAAAGGCATTTCATTGGTGGAGAAAAGAATTATTTTAAAAATCTGGCTGATTAAGGAATTGCTAGGGAATTGTTTAAAACTGTGCTATGGAGAATTAATGGGAAGGAATAATAAGCAGACATTAATAACTTGTTATTAAAAACTCAAGGGAAATTGAGTTAAATACAGCAGTGTAAAGAGGTTTTAAAAGGGCATATGCAGCATTGCATACATTTTCTTTGAAAGAATATGTGCTTTTATCTATTCAACAAAATACCAAATTAGCTACCAGCAGTGATCTCTGTGTGGTGAGATAACGAGCTTTGCCCTTTTCCACAACACTAATGTTTTGCGTGCGCATTCAAAAGCAATTGTTAAAGCCTTAAAACATGGTAACAAAATAAGTTACCACAGCGTGAAACAGTACAAAGGAACAGAGAAGGCCTCTTTTTCTTTTTTTTTTTTTTTGGTCAAATTCCCCTCCCCCGCTTAGGGAGGGACTTCCCGCCTTCAGGTTCTCAGTTCGGTCCGCTACCGGACGTATAAAAGCTTGCATCCGCGATCCGTGGAAGCAAAGGTTTGTTGAGCTTCAGTAAGTGCTCGTTATGTCGGGTCGTGGGAAGGGCGGGAAGGGTCTCGGAAAGGGGGGCGCCAAGCGCCACCGCAAGGTGCTGCGCGATAATATTCAGGGCATCACTAAGCCCGCTATTCGGCGTTTGGCTAGGCGTGGTGGCGTCAAGCGCATCTCTGGCCTCATCTACGAGGAGACTCGCGGGGTGCTGAAGGTGTTCCTGGAGAACGTGATTCGGGACGCTGTCACTTACACTGAGCACGCCAAGCGCAAGACCGTCACCGCCATGGACGTGGTCTACGCGCTCAAGCGCCAGGGACGCACGCTTTACGGCTTTGGCGGCTAGAGTGTTCAGTTTTGTGTCTGTTCTGTTAACAAAAGGCCCTTTTCAGGGCTTCCTACTTTTCGCTTGTAAGGAGCTGTGATTCTCTAATTTTTTCATTGCTTGGAGATGTTAAAAAGTATTTAATTATTGTACTTTAGCCTGCGAAATTTTGTGCTCATTCTGGGACGCGTGTGTTCCCAATCCCGCCTAGATACAGCAGGGGTCGTTAGGACCGCTGTCCAGTCAATTCTTTACCTAAGGATATATCCACGCTGAGTTGGTATGGAATCTTTAGTTGTGTAATTTGCTAAAGGAGGTAGTGGGGAAAGTCCTTGCAGATGCCTACGTTCGCTACTATGTAACTTTTTCTTTTACAAGGTAACATAGTTGAACCACCTATTAAAAGTGGGGTAACTGTATCAGTTAATACACTGTACCACTGGCAAGAAGTCACACACAATCTGGAGTCTGGCAGTGTTACTTGGAAAAAGTGTATTCAGATCCCAAAGTGGGAAAGTTTTATAGAAAAAGAATTCGTCTTTAAGATTAGTTAGTGACATCTCTGCCTCTCTAAAGGTAATAACTATCTTGTCAAATCAAGCTCGCAGGCATGTTCTATGTCCCTGGAGGGATAGTCAGTAGCCTATTACTGGTCTGGATCACTTATTTACCACAAAGGATAGGGAGAACATTTTAAACTTAAATTAGTCCATTCATAGAGTCAAGTGAGTAAAGGGTTTTTTGGTTGATTTTAAAAGGCGAGGCTCATAATTAGCGCTCATTAAGTCTTAATTTATGTATTTGGTGAAGTGAATGTCACTGGTGACAAGAACTGGGGAGGGACAGTTATAGTAATGGATTCAGATAAAGCAAAAGTACAAAATTCCTGGTCCACGTATGGAGAGCACATATGTTTTCTTTAGACATATTTTTCTTAATTTTTTGTCATTAATGTAAGCATGTTAATGAAAAATGTACTTGTTTTCTACTTGTGAAAAATCGTCCGACTTGGCACCGCTAAGCAGACCCACATATATTTTGGACATAAAAAATAATCTCTCTGTTTAGGATGTAAAAGATAAAAATAAATATTTTAGGAGATGTAAATGTCCTGTTTTGTGACTTCACTACCAAAGGAATGCAAGATGGTGAAACGTTTAAGCATAATCATTAGAAGCAGATGGCTTGGGATTAAACCTATACCACCATTCTCTTGTGGTGAGAACGGGTTAAGTTACACATCTTTTCTGGGCCTTAGTTTCTCCATTTATACAACTGTGTGATAATGATATTGATACCTCGCTCAAAGGATTGTTTTGAGGATTCATGAGTTGATAAATGAAAAGTGCTTAAGTACCAGTGCCTGACAAATAGTAAGTGCAAAGTGTAGCAGTTATTACTCATCTATGCCTCATCCCTAATTGCATCACAACCACATTCCAGCTGAGATTCTCTAGTCTGTTATGGGGCCATGGGAAATACCCTAAAGTCAATATGTTTTTTGAACCAGTTTTTGCACTTGGAGATATTATCTTGATTATTCCTAAGTGTCACACCTGTTCGTTTGTACTCACATTCTGGGTGGTAAATAAAAGGCAGGAGGAGCCTTCCTTAGCCTTCTGAGGATGGTCACAGCATAACTGGGTAGGTTTGCTGTGATTTTTGTCTTTCTCTTTCTCACTTTCTATCAACCTCATCTCATTTTTTCTGAATAGCCATAGAATTTAACTTCCAAAGAGAAACCCAGACATCATGTGGACAAAAGATCTGTCTCTCATGTGAAGGCACATAAGAATTACTATGAAAAAGTTGTTTGTTTAAATAATAACTGGTCTTTCCCTAGACCAGTTAATCAGAATCTGTAGGATTGGGTCACCTCAAATACAACTCATTAGCACTTCCCACTTCTACTGGTCCCACAGGCCTTTTCAAATCTAAGGGGAAATCTCGGTGTTTTAATACCCTCTTTTCATCAATTTCAACTTTAAGAGAATGCTCTCAAAGGCTGTGGAACTCTCAGACCCAAAGCTCAGACCCAAATTAATGGACAAAGGATCAATCATCCTTTCTTGCAATGAGAGGGCCTGTCCAGGAGTTCAAGTCCTTACCTTTCTCCCAAGAGAGGATTTAGTTCAAAATTCATGGGTTTATTTTATCTGTGGTTAATGGATTAAAGTTTGTTGCATAAAAAGTTCTTGCTATAAACATCTGCTAGGTTCAGCGGTTATAGAATCGAGACATCAGAAACCAAGGACAACTTCTTGGCTTTCCTTTCCAGCTGTACTGGGAAAATTACCCTTAAAAAAGAAACCGTAGGAGTTCCCTGGTGGCGCAGTAGTTGGTGATCTGCCTGCCAATGCAGCGGACATGCGTTCCATCCCTGGCCAGGGAGGATCCCACATACTGCAGAGCGGCTAAGCCCGTGTGCCACAGCTGCTGACCCTGCACTCTGGAGCCCGAGAGCCACAACCGCTGAGCCCGTGCACCACAACTACTGAAGCCCACACGCTCTAGGGCCCACGTGCTGCAACTACTGAACCCGCATGCTGCAACTACTGAGGCCCATGCTCCTGGAACCCATACTCCACAACAGGAGGCGCCGCAATGGGAGGCCCACTTACTGCAACAGAGAGTAGCCCCCGCTCCCCTGCTTGCCACAACTGAAGAAACCCCACGCGCAGCGACAAAGACCCAATGCAGACAAAACAAAAAACAAAAAACACAACATAGTCTACACTAAAACCTTAACAAATAGAAAAAAATATCGTGACTAAATACCCTGAGAATCAGCATGTATTACTTAACACAGTTTCATTGCTTGTTCAGGACTCTAACCTAGTGAGTATACAGGAAAGCTCTCAGTCGATAGCATCAGGAATGTTAGTTCATTAATTCATTAATATTACTGAATGACTGCTGTGCTTCAGGCATTGTACTTGGCACTAGTGATACAGCAAGGAAAAAAAAGTCTCTTTTTACTAGGGAAAGACAGAAAATAAACTAATATACAATCATTTTTCTACATCCAATGACCAATTATTAGTCTTCATTTTTTTTTGACCTATTGGAAACACTGACATAATTGACCCTACAATTTCTCTTTGATATACTTTCTTCACTTGGTTCTCTCTTACCAGAGGCTCTGTATCTATTGTTAGCTCATCTCTTCTCCCCAGACCCTTAATGTTGGGGGATACAGGGCTAAGTTTTTACTACTTCTTTTTCTGTACTCACTCGCTTGAATATCTCACCAAGTTCAGACTTTCAATGCCATCTGTACATTAATGACCTCCAATTTTATATTGCCAACCCAGGCTTCTCTCCTAAACTCCAGACAGACATACACCCAATTTCTTTCTCTTTTTCTTTTCTTTTCTTTTCTTTTTTTTTTTTTTTGCGTGGAGGTTGGGGGCGAGTGGATTGCAGTACCTTAGTTCCCCCACTAGGGATTGAACCCACACCTCAGCAGTGAAAGCACCGAGTCTGAACAACTGGACAGCCAGAGAATTCCCCACAGTTCCCTATATTTTTTCTTCACGTGAATGTTTGACATCTTAAAGTTAACATGTCCAAAATAGAATCCTTAGTATTCCCCCCTCCCAATCTTTCATTAAAACACTCCCCCATTTAGTTGATAATTACTTCATTCTTGTCCATTCAATTCTTCTAGAAATCCTCTTGATTTTGCCTTCAAAGTATATATGGAAACATCAATTCTCTGTACCACTATGCTACCACCCTGGCTTGAGGACCATCTTCTCTCCCCTAGGTTACTGGCTTCAGTTTCCTTAATATTTTTCCTACTTCCACATTTGACTCCCCACTGTCCTGTGGGAAGGTACCTTGATGCCCTGGTAGCCTCCAAACACACTACCAGGCAAACTCTCCCATGGCATAAAAAGACTCAAATTAAATCAAAATGTCGGGGATGCATGATTTTTAAAATTAATTTAAACACATAACCTGAGACAAGGGGAAAGATTGAGGTAAGTTAAGACTTAAAATAAGATTTCAAGGAGATGGGCCACAGTAGCTGAATCATGGGTTACACAATGTTCAGATATCTTTCTGCTGCATCAAACTTCCTTACTGATGGTTTGGTTATGAAGCCCAGAGTCCAGGTTTGGGCAAGAAGGTCCACAGATAGACCCTGGCCAGTACCTATCAAAGAGAGATTATTACCCCTGACCACATCTGTTGCTTGCTCACCAATTTGCCTGCCAAATAGCCATGGGTTTTATTTGTGTTATCTTGGGCAAAGGACGCTTGGGGGCCAGAATGGATAACCCATATCCCAAATATATTTAGTGTATCAGGAATATTTAGTGCCTCATGTATCCCAGGCATATTTAGTGTCCAGGTGTATCAGGTATAACTAGTGCCTCAAGGATCGTGCAGATCTCCTGGTCCTTTCTCCTTATACTTAACACACATGTGCTCTACTTTCTAACTACTTATCTATACAGTACTTAATACATCTTATGAGTTTCATCCATCACTTTGTTTCTCTGTAGCAGAATTAAATCTCTGCAAATAGTATAAGAAATACATATTTCATAATATTTAGGAAGCCAAGAATTTGATTAAGTATGCTCAGACCTTTAGATAGGTATTTTATAATAGAGTATTTAAATTTTTATCTTTTGTTTAACTTGGTCTGTTTTTTACTAATATGACATAGTTGTGAAAAAGGGATGAAGGCTTACTTGTTTAAGAGGAGTGGTTAGTTCTAAGCCTATATTAATAACCACATTCCTATGAAAAAGGATTCTGTATAAAATCCAATCACTCTTCTGTATTGTTTTGTAGACAGGGCCAATCAATCTATATTTTATATTTTCAAAAGTCATTGTTAAGTATTACTGTTTATCAAAAGTTCTTTTAATGGAATATTTTTCTAAAATTTGAGGAGTCAGTTTGAAAAATATAGCAACTGAAAGTATAAAAAGGTTTTAGTAAAGGACCTTTAGCCACAATCAAATCAGTTCATTCAGTCCAAAGTGATTAATTCTTGGGAATTCCCTGGCGGTCCAGTGGTTAGGGCTCCACACTTCCACTGAAGGAGACACAGGTTCGATCCCTGGTGGGGGAACTAAAATTCCCTCATGCCACGTGGCCAAAAAAAAAAGAAAATTGATTAATCATTGCTTTGTTGATCTTGGGTTAAGCAGCCTGCTTCTAATATGGCTTGCAAAATCTTAGATCAGACCTGTGGTAGAGCCTGACAGTATCAGGTACAGTTATTTATTAAAGTTCTTTTGATGTTTCTTCTGGAAAACTCAATTTCAGATCTGTTTTGTAGCAGGGGCCTTTAGAGATAACTGTATGGAAAACCAGCAACTATCTGTTGATGATAAAAGAGAAAACGTCTGGTCAATGTATTATATTAATCAACGTTATCAGTATGGAGTAGGATAGAATCCCCGATTTAGATATGTATTATGAATAGTGAGGACATTGACATACCTCCGAGTGCCCTTTGATATATGTCATAAAGTATTTGCTATTATTGTCACCAAATGAGAAGGTATTTATACCTAGGAACAAAATCTGTTGGCAGTTTCTTGTGTCTTTTATATGCATATAATTATGGTCTACCCAACTTAAAAAGTATAACCGTTAAACATTTATATCAATAGCATTTTATCTGGTTAACTTAGGGATGTATAGTTTCCTCTTTTGATTTGCCCTCTTTTTTCAAATATTGCACAATATATAGAGAACAATTCTCACAACTGTATATGCTTCATTACAAATATAAATGAGAGAACAAACCTTACCTGTGGTCTAGTGGTCACAACTACAAAAATAACTTAGATATAAATAGATAATACCTTAATGGCTTCATTATTCAAAATTTGGGGGTCTGGATTTAGAAAAAGTAATATCAAAAAGAAGTCAGGCTATGAATGTAATAAGAGATTTCTACAGCCAAATACTAAAATATTGGGTATAAGATAGCATTTAAACTATACACAGAATGCTTAGGGATTTTTTTTGACTGTTGGGGTTTTTTTTCTTTTTCAAAGAACTGAGAGACTTTTGTCAAAATTATTCGAGAAATCAGTGGAAAGCCACAAATAGTAATAGACGCTCAGAAAATGTTGGGGAAATATAATTAAAAGTAAAATCTCCCAATTCAGAAAAGCTCTCCAAAAAGGGAGTAGGAACAGAAAAGTTTTACTATTGCATAAGCATTAAACCAGAACGTGAAGCACATCACAGGCAATTTGCCAAAGGGATTGCAAAGCAGAGAGAAATCTCTTTTATACAGCTAAATGGGTACAACCCATTCAAACATTATGTAGGCTTAGCAGTTTGGAATCTTGTGATAAGGGAAGTTAGGCCTCTTTCCGGAACAGATGTGTTATCTTCCTTGATTGTATTTCAAAGAGGAAACATTCCTGAGTTGGGAGACTGGCTAGATGAGTATTTAGCACTTGACATTATGAAGATTTACTGGTGAGGCAAGGGAATTTTTAACTTCAGCTATAAAATATGTAAATCTGGTCATTGTTTTCTCATTTTTTGTACATGTGGGCAATTGTCCTTTAGTCTGTGTCTCTGCATTAGTCAAGCTTTCACCTTTGGCTTTGGGTTTTTTCCTATAGCTTCTAAGACCTGTGGGAAGATACTAAGGCCTCCTTTGAGATTAGGTCTGGATTTCCTAATCTGTTAGGAAAAACTCTACCAAGGATCTTATTTTAATTAGTTCTCCTAGCTTAGAGGGCTGCCTGTATTTTTTCGCCCTAGAGAACATTTCTGTAATGCGACCTTGTTTCTTTTATAATTTAGTTGAAATGTCTTTTAATCACATCCCACCCTCACCAACTATTCTGAGATTTTACAGTGAGCCTGTCCTTTATCAGCCTTCCATACTGGAGTGTTAAAGCCTATTTAACAGCCACGGGTTTGTTTCCTGAGCAGAGGACACCTGCAGCTAGAATAGGTTATTGTGATCGAATCATTTATGTATACTAAATATGCTACGAATTAGTGAGGAGACAGGTGCACTTCTTTTCCATCCCTTTCTAAACAATCGCTTGCACTCCATCTACAAAGAGAAATGCCACTCTGGTAAAACTCTCAAGTCATATGTATTTGGGTGGCCCGTTTGCTTCCAGCTTATGACCATCTAAGCTTTCTGTGCTCGAGCAAAGAAACTTTCACAGTAAAGGATGTAAGTAGTGCTTCTAAACAGTTAAGGGTAAAGAGCAAAGCTAAGAGCTTCAGGGTGTAGAGAATGTGAAGCGTGAAAAAGCAAGCTCAAAACAAACCAGCATCACGGCTCCTCAGATGAAAAGATGGGGGCCCTGAAAAGGGCCTTTTGTTGAACAAAGAGCGCGAACACTCAGCCGCCGAAGCCGTAGAGAGTGCGTCCCTGGCGCTTGAGCGCGTAGACCACGTCCATGGCGGTAACAGTCTTGCGCTTGGCGTGCTCTGTGTAGGTGACTGCGTCCCGGATTACGTTTTCCAGAAACACCTTCAGCACCCCGCGCGTCTCCTCGTAGATGAGACCAGAAATGCGCTTCACACCTCCACGCCGGGCCAGACGGCGAATAGCGGGCTTCGTGATGCCCTGGATGTTATCGCGCAGAACTTTGCGATGACGCTTAGCGCCCCCTTTTCCAAGGCCCTTACCACCTTTGCCGCGACCAGACATACCGAAAACCTGTAAGATTAACAAAGGTTAACTTCCAGGCCTCCCAGATGCAGGCCTTTATACGTCCGTTGGCGGACCAAACTGAGAACCTGAAGAAAGGTAGCGGGAAGTCCCGCCCCGGGAGGGGGGGAGGGGAATTTGACCAAAAAAAACAAAAAAAAGCCTTTTTTGTTCCTTTGTACTGTGTTTCATACGGTGGTAACTATTTTGTTACCGTGTTTAAGGCTTTAACAATTGCTTTTGAATGCGAACGCAAAACATAAATATTGTGGAAAAGGGTAAAACTCGTTATCTCACCACACATAGATCATTGCTGGTAGCTAATTTCGTATCAATATTTTGGTGAACAGATAAAAGCACATAGTCTTTCAAAGAAAATGTATGCAATGCCGCAAATGGCATTTTGGAACCTCTTTGATTACATTTTAACCAATTTCCCTTATTTAAAGAGAAAATACATTTTTTATGTCTGCTTGTTATTCTTATGAATGCTCTTTAATACAGTTTTAACCAACTCCCTAGCAGCCCGATTTTTTTTTAATAAATCATTTTTTTTTCCATTTAAGAAAAATTTACTTCTTCACTCTACTTGGGTATATACTATACTGACGTTTCTAATGAAGGATAGCAGAATACACCACTCCCAAATATCCTTTAGCATAAGGATTATTTTGAGCGGATTGTTTCTGAGAAAAAGCAGATACAGAAGCTCTAAAAACAGAATAGAATTTACCCCTTTTTAAGGGGAATTTACATTTATATGAGAAATCTCCATTTGTAAGGGTATCTCACTCAATGTGCCAGGAAGAGAAAGATAACTCACAAGAAACTTACCAATGGAGAAAGTGCAGGATTTAATCGGCCTCCCCTTGTTTACTGTGCTCTTCCGGGTCACCTCCAACAGCCCCCCCCCACACACACACACACAGCCATGTCTTTTGTCTTTAGCTGAAGATGATATTTAAAGTGGCGGTTCGGGCCACTTCTGGGAGTTTTACTCAGTTCCTCTCTGTTTATTCCATGTATACATGAGACGTACACAGTATTACACTTTGTTTTTCTCTTGTTAGTCTGTTTTTTTTTTTTTTTTAATTACAGCAGGGTGTCAGCCACAGAACCAGTGAAACTAATGTTTTCGTATAAACAATTGAAATAGTAAGCATAGACAAAAGTCTGGAAGAGGAGAAATTTATAAAAACCACAAAAAACAACCTTAGGGGAAAGGCATTGTTTGGGAGCCTCACAGATTCGTATTGTTGAAGGCTCCCTAATTCTCTGTACTTACTGTCTGCCCCTTGTCCAGAGTCCCTGCCTTCTTCCAAGTTACTGGTCCCCCAAATCATTCAGTGTCTTCATTATTCCACCAGGTAATTAATATTCATTAACATCAGTAGCATTTATTTAAATGTGAGACTGTTGCTAGACTGGAGAAGGAAGTAGGAGGTACACCAAAATAATAAGGTCATGCAGATCAATTTTTTTACAGATAAATTAATATCATGAAGTGAAAAGGCAGGGTAACTCTTTACAACTGGTCTTTGCTCGTTGGACCCCTCTGATCTTTAGGCTCCTTCCTCCAGTTTAGCTACTTTGAAGTTATTCATTTGAAAATCCCTACATTTTCCTCCATGTGATCTCATCCTTGTTTAACTTTCAACTTCTTTTTTGCCTTTATTTATATCACTTATTTAGTTTATAAGGATTTTTATTATTATAGAATTAACAGAATTTTTGGACTATATTTTATGAGCTTGTCATTGAAATAGGGTCTGGGGATATGCAAATATGAATAAAACCCAGTCTCCACTCTAAAGGAATTTGTACACTAATGGATAAGATACCAAAAGTGTTCAGAATGAGCTCCCCAAAATGTGCCACATTTGCACATTGATTATTTTGAGGTAAAGGCAATTGAGATCCTGCAATCTCAAGATAAACTTCTGCCCCTCCCTTAACTACTTAGAAGGATTTGAATTGGGGGTCTTTCCCACTATGAGAATTATTACCGGAGAAAAATTTTATCTGAGTGAGCCAGCTGCATGGCAGGGCAAACTAATTACCCAATATTTGATTTTCCTCTTATTGTCCATGTGAATTATCCTCTTGTGCTTGGAAGCCACTAAGCCATTCCTTAGCTCAGGAAGGCATATTTACCTTTCTGTTTTTGAACTTCTCATGTATGTGGGGTTTCCGTATGTATGAAATTAAACTTGACTTTCTCCTGTTAATCTATCTCATGTCAATTTGATGATTAGACCAGCTAAAAGAACCTTAGAAGGGTAGAGGAAAATCCTTGTTCCCCGACAATATAAAACAAATCTAATATGGGAAGATACTGTTAGGTTCTTTCATGGTAGTCCAGAGTCTGCAGAAAGGGAAATTAATGGGAAGACCAACTCCAGGAATAAAGTTTAAATAATACTTTCATAAATCTTGTGCTGCTAAAATTGAACTGTACCTCTTATGAAAACAACTTTACAGTATAAACTATGGAGTCCTGAAAAGTTCTTCAGGATCTAATTGAAATTAGAAATATCTAAATTATTTTGGCAAGATTTTTTGAAAGTTTTGTTATCTCCATTTTTAAATACAAGTTTTACTTTTTTTCTGATTATGTAGATAGTAAAGAACAGTAAGTGCTTTATCCAATGAAATTGGGTTAATACTCCATTAATTTAAAAAACTCAGTTAACACGTGGAATTATAAGCAATGACATATCACACTTGAATATTTTATTTTATTTAAAACAAAAATTTATAGTCATTTATCAACGATTTGATTATAGGTTCATTGATTTTATCAATCAAAACCACATCAATAATTGTAAAGGCGTTATTTTAACAATGTGGTGGTTCTTGCCATGGGGAATAGAATGATGCAATAAGCAAGTGTTAGTAATTGCATGATCAATATCAATAACGATAACAACAGCATATTTTATTATTAAAAATTGAAAGAACTCATAGGCCTTCCTTGGAGCTGTATCACTGACTCTACTTGACCGTTCTACTTCTGAGATATAGTTGTTTAAAATATACAAACTCAAGTAATGCAGATGACTTTCTTTTCTTAATTTATTTATTTTTATTTTTTGGCTGCGTCGGGTCTTAGTTGCGGTGCTCGGGATCTTTCGTTGCGGCGCGTGGGCTTCTCTCTAGTTGTGGCATGCCGGTTTTCTCTCTCTAGTTGCAGAGCGCGGGCTTAGTTGTCCAGCAGCATGTGGCATGTAGGATCTTATTTCCCTGACCAGGGATCGAACCCGCGTCCCCTGAATTGGAAGGTGGATTCTTTACGACTGGACCACCTGGGAAGTCCCGCAGATGAGTTTTTAAGAGGGAAAAATTGAATAATTAGATTCACTGAAATCAGGATTCGGGTCTTCCAACATCAAATAATGAAGCCAAAAAGAAAAGGGAAAAAAGGTAACATTTACGTCCTGTTTGTGATTGCTGAGGTCACTTTTATTCCAATGAATATTATTTACATGTGCTAGGGTGACTTGGTGGTCTGAGAGAAGGTGAGAGGGATGATGGTGGGGTAAAGGGGAAGCAAAAATCATTGACAGCACTAGGACTATAAGAACCTGATAAGTGATTTACAATGTCGACCTTTCCTATTTGTTAACACACACTCTTCCTAATGCAGTTCCAAACCGCCTTTACTTCACCATCATTGATGTAAACAGTCCATTATGAAATGTGTCCTCTGCCTGAAGTTACTTTTAAACAAGTAGTTTACCTGTCTGGATTACTACCCCATTCCCATTTAGGAGGGTGTGTGGTGCGCAGTAAGACTGAATTGAATTAGAAGGGAAGGTAGGCCAAAGTCGGATGGTGCTGGTTTTTTATCTCAGATGGACACTTGCCCCTGTAGAGGAATCACAGGGATGTTAATTTTGCTCATAAGTTTAACCTAAATTATGTAAGCAAATGTTTTGCTTTTTGGAAGGCATTTAAAGTTATTAAGGAAAATAACCTAGATGCAAATGACTTAGCCAAACTTTGTTCTAGGATTAATTTCCAACAGCACCTTGCTTTCCAAAACAATGTGACTTTGATAGCACAGCTCCTTTTGTTGATAAGGTGAGTGGCTCTGAAAAGAGCCTTTTGGTTTGGAAAGATTTGAGTTGCAAAGAACGACGTACTTCTACTTGCCCTTGGCCTTGTGGTGGCTCTCGGTCTTTTTGGGCAGCAGCACGGCCTGGATGTTGGGCAGGACGCCGCCCTGAGCAATAGTGACTTTACCCAGCAACTTGTTGAGCTCCTCGTCGTTGCGGATGGCCAGCTGCAGGTGGCGCGGGATGATGCGCGTCTTCTTGTTGTCGCGGGCCGCGTTGCCCGCCAGCTCCAGGATCTCGGCCGTCAGGTACTCCAGCACCGCGGCCAGATACACCGGCGCGCCGGCCCCGACCCGCTCGGAGTAGTTGCCCTTGCGGAGCAAGCGGTGCACTCGGCCCACGGGGAACTGGAGCCCGGCCCGCGAGGAGCGAGTCTTGGCCTTGGCGCGAGCTTTGCCTCCTTGCTTGCCACGTCCAGACATACTGAAAGTAGAAACCCACCAATATGAGTTAGGTCTGAATAGATACAGAGAGAGCTACTCTACTTATAGTTTTCACTGGGCGCGAAAATGAAGGTGTACCATTGGCTAAAACTAGTTTTATTTAACCCAATGAAGTCGGATTTTGAAATACACTTATTTTGATTGGACAAAACTGGTACGTGCTGTTTCCAGGATTCACCACCAATCAGACGCTCGACTTTACTCACTGCCTCCTTTGTTTAAGAAGCTGTGAAGGAAGAGGGCTCAGCCTGGTTCTTGTTCTTCCTGTTATTTTTGAACTGCTTGGCAGTTAACTCCGCGCCATGCCTGAACCCTCCAAGTCTGCTCCGGCCCCGAAGAAAGGCTCCAAGAAGGCGGTGACCAAGGCTCAGAAGAAAGACGGCAAGAAGCGCAAGCGCAGCCGCAAGGAGAGCTACTCCGTGTACGTGTACAAGGTGCTAAAGCAGGTCCACCCGGACACCGGCATCTCGTCCAAGGCCATGGGCATCATGAACTCGTTCGTTAACGACATCTTCGAGCGCATCGCGGGCGAGGCGTCGCGCCTGGCGCATTACAACAAGCGCTCGACTATCACCTCCAGGGAGATCCAGACGGCCGTGCGCTTGCTGCTGCCCGGCGAACTGGCCAAGCACGCCGTGTCGGAGGGCACCAAGGCCGTCACCAAGTACACCAGCTCCAAATGAGCCAGGCCGCAGCGGAGCGAGCGGTAAGGCTAGGCCCACACCTCAAAGGCTCTTTTCAGAGCCACTCAATCTTCTGAAGAGAAGTGGCACTCACTTTATGCAGCAGGTGTTTGTTACTTGGTTCAAAGTATAACAAGTTCCGCGATTCCTTTTTTCTTTTTTTGGTCTTTAAACAGATTTATTTTCTCGCAGTTCTGGAAGCTAGAGGGCCAAGATTTGCTGTCAGCAGGGGTGGTTTATTCTGAGGCTTCTCTCTTTGGTTTGCAGATGGTCATCTTTTCTGTCTTCATTTGGTCTTCCTTCTGTTCGCGTTTCCTCATTTTCATCGTTAGAAATTACTTCCACTACAATGTAGGTGGTGCTGCAGCAATACTCGAGATATTTTTATATGTTTTTATGTCGAGAAGGGGGAGGTTCATTATCAGACACACACGTAGTGAAGAAGGCAAAATGCACTTTGTCCCAAAGGAAAATCCGCTCGCCTTTAAGTTTGAACCCGGCAGAAGTTTTTGCTAACAATGACTTGAGCCCTCCATCCTTAACTTTATTTATTTATTTATTTATTTAGTGGTACGCGGGCCTCTCACTGTTGCGGCCTCTCCCGTTGCGGAGCACAGGCTCCGGACGCGCAGGCTCAGCGGCCATGGCTCACGGACTCAGCCGCTCCGCGGCATGTGGGATCTTCCCGGACCGGGGCACGAACCCGTGTCCCCTGCGTCGGCAGGCGGACTCTCAACCGCTGCGTCACCAGGGAAGTCTTCCATCCTTAATTTTAACGTGTACATACCTGACTAATGAATTGCTTGGCACACAGTAAGAAAGGTACCAATCGTTTTATTCACTTATGTTTTCTTTGGGGAGAGGTGCTGGCTCTCCTCCCCTTTCCCTGGGTTTGGGTTTGCCAAATATTAAGTTAGAAAGGCAGAAGAAAAACAAATGGAAGTGAGAATCCAATTCAAATTATCTCACACATCAACCAGGTGCCACGTTTATCGATAGCCAATCCAGACGCTGCGCGCGCAGTTTGAAGTTTACCAACGGTGTCCCTCATGAGTCTATCCTAATTGGGAGATTTCTGGGCCACGCGGCTTTGTTGGAAGAACTCTGCCATTTTCTCCACTCCCTAATTTCTCTGAGTGAAATTTCTCTGTATGGGAGGGATTAGGTCCTACTCCTGCCTTTACTGTGAGGATCCTCTCCATGTTTTCTTTCTTTCTGCATGTCACTTGCATTTACTGTTTCTCTATTAATCGGAATAAATTTTTTTTAAATAGAGAAGGGCTGTTTCCCTATCCTCAGTTCGGGAAACCAAAATCCATCTCTTCATTTTAGGCCCTTAGGAATGAATGGCATATTTAAAACTATTTTAGTCTTTACAGGGAATCAGCATGGAACTGCTTCCCCAAAAAAGTATGTTATTCTACAAAGTGACCACTTGATGCAAAAATTACCATTTGTTCATATTGCATATGAAAATACATAGGTGACCTAATATGTTTAATTTGCAGTATGCCGAGACAAACGAGTGACTAGCCATGAAAAGTCTCTTAAGGACTAAAGTCTTACGATGGAGAAACTACTTTGAATCTTTGCTTAAGGGCTTACATTCAGAATTAATAAGTATGACCTACATCTTTGCAAAGTGTATTATATTATTTTTTCTAGGTGATTTATAATTTCAAATTTCTGACTTTTTATATTAGGCATATTAAAAAGAATAATTTTAATGTAGGTTATACTAAAGCATAGAGACAAAATATTTCCCAGAGGATTTCCTCATATGCTTAGAATAAAGAAAAATATCCATTAATAAATTAAGGGTTTTTTAAAATATGTTTTAATTCTTTAAAAAATGACTTTTTATATCGTGTCTGCTTTAATTTCTAACGTCCTTGCACATGTCCAAGAAAAAAGAAAAGAAAACTATAAAGTTACACCTCATTTAATACTAGGAATATGTATATGTGATGTGACTCTGGAGTTGCACCTAAAATATAGCTCAAGTATATCAGTGTCTTTTACTAGTTGGTTCTTGTGGAACAGTGTTTTGAGAATATGAACTGTATAAAAATATCCCAGTCAAATTTGGTACGTGACATTGTATAAATGTAACACTGGACTTTTAAAAACTAATTTTTTAAAAGAAATTTTATGTGCATAACATTGCTAAGTTTATTTTATGTGCATAACATTGCTAAGTTTATTTTATTTTCCTCATGTGTGGAATGAGACCAACAAGTACTACCTCAGATGCTCATTGTATTTATTTATTTTTGGCTGTTTTGGGTCTTTGTTGCTGCGCGTGGTCTTTCTCTAGTTGCGGCCAGAGGGGGCCACTCCTTGCTGCGGTGCACCGTCCTATCACTGCGGTGGCCTCTTCTGCGGAGCATGGGCTTGGCGCGCGGGCTTCAGTAGTTGTGGTACGCGGTCTCAGTAGTTGTGGCTCGCAGGCTCTAGAGCGCAGGCTCAGTAGTAGTGGTGCATGGGATTAGTTGCTCCGCAGCGTGTGGGATCTTCCCCGGACCAGGGCTGGACCTACTGTGCCCTGCACTGGCAGGCGGATAATCACTGCGCCACCAGGGAAGCCCCTAAAAAATAATTATTGATATTAATTTGATTGTAGCTTGTTTTAATTTACTCTTTCTTCCCCAACATTTTAAACTGATATCTTGAAAATAAACTAGTGAAATATTAAGATAACTCTCTATGTTTTAATGTATTTGTATTTGGCCAAATAGCTGTATTTGACCAAAAATCTCAAGAAATTGAAATTCAGTGCTGCCTGCAATTAAAATAATTACACCATAATATGAGTGTGTGCATGTATGTATATGTACATATATTTATGCATATACATATAATATACACATAAAATATGTTTTATTTATACACACATTACTAAAATATGTTGTATTTTAATTTTTCCAACACTCTTACTCCAAGAGGGTGACAAAAAATATAAAAGCATTGACTGTCTAGTGTCTGATTATTTTAGGCTCTTGGTACAGAACAGCAGTGAGATGGAGAGTATAGAGCCAAACCTTTGAGATTTTTAGCTATACCATTCCATTAGCCAGGATACACTTTATACATGCATACATATATATTAAGTTTTAATTTCTATTATATTTTAATTATATTTAATGGAATTAATAGAATAATCAGAAAGGGGAAAGTGTTGGAAAAATTAAAATTTCATTTTCTTTTAAAATAACTGGTGTACAGATGATAATGACTGGGAGAATCATTTGGGACAATGCATTGCAAAAAGAAAACATAGTAAGATCATCCTCATGTTTTTAATAATACTGTTTTATAAACACATTGTTTAGATAAGCAGCCCAAAATCTAGTAAATTAACCTTGGTGAGGTGACGTTTTATATGGCAGAGAAGAGTGAAGCTATCAGCTCAAGAAGAAAAGTGAGTTTGATTGAAAAAAAAATTTATTTGGGGACAAGATAAAGTGCTTTCTGTGAAAAGAGTAACAGGCACTTAGCCTTTAAAAACAGGGCTTTTAATCTGTCATCATAGTGTTCTCAAAGTCATCTGATGCAGCCAGGTGCATGACGCAAAACCCTGGTATGGAGATTTCCACCTCTATTCAAGAAACTAAATTCCTTGAAGAGGAACTGATTACAAGTTTTGAGACAAGGGAAAATCTGATGGGTCTAGAACACCATGCTCACTGAAAGCAAGGATGATCTTCCATGTTTGCAGTAACAATAAAGAGAGTTAAGATGAGAGTGGCAAGAAAGCCTGAAAGAATCCCCACGGTGTAAGTAGTGCTAACTTGAGAATTAAAACTAAACAAACAGAACAGTTGTAGTTTACTGGAATAGATTCAGCATGTAAAAGCCATGAATCCATAATAAGCAATTGGAACAAATACTATGATGAGCTGAATAAGAAGTTTACCTGGTGTGTCTCACTATTCATCTTTTCCAAAGTCTTTGTGCCCTGTGTCACTGAGATGAGCATCTTCTTCTCCAGAAAGTGCCTGGCTTTACAGTCTTAAGGTTCTGTTGTACTTATATTAGGGGAAACTCCACCTCCTGCAATGCTATAGGATCAAGTCTCAAAAAAGAGCTCCCTGAGAAACTCGCTGATGCTTTGTTCAATAAAATTTCAGGAGAGCAAATTGTATTTTAATGATTGCCATTGTTAGAAATCAATCCAAACGCTAATAACCAAGGCATTCTGAAATTGTCCTGTGTACCAGCTTCTGCCACAGCCATCCCCAACACTACCACCAACAATGTGGTTACTAAATAAATAAATAAAATGTTAGCTTTCTCTTTGTCCTAAAGGCAGTGA